GGTTCGGGGCAGCTCTACGACTGAGCTAACGGGCGCTTTTATTCTCTGTTTTATGTTTTTTTAATTTTATAGAATAAAAGAGTGAATGATGGATAATTATCAGTTAGTTGTGTTGTGGTTGTTTGTTTGTTTCCCCTTTGGTGGTGGGTCAGATCTGTGGAGTCTCCTCTGCTCTCTTTCCCCAGTCTCACCCCACGCTCACCGGGCAAAGGAAATGTGCCATTAATAACAATATATTATTATTTTATAGATTATTTTTTTTTGCCATCTACTATTGATGTAGTTTTATGAACACTTTTTTACTTTAAATTATTTTTTGTTCCATTTGGCCAATAAAGTTGATTGATTGATGATTGATTGATTAAAACACAATGTTCAGATTACTCAGATTATATTAAGTGTCTCCCTTCACATAATCTTAATTTATAGTATATTTAAATGACTGCTGTTTGTTTGATTTTTTCGTAACAGTTGTATTTATTTTACAGTAACTTTAGTTTATTTATATTTATTAATAATTAATATTTTTAAAGTTATTTATTTTTGTTTGTCAGGAATCTTGGAGTTATCTTTGATAGGATTGTTCATTTAACTCCCATATAAAGCAGATCTCTAGACTGCCTTCTTTTCATTTACGTATATTACAAAATTAGACACACTTATCACAGACAGATGCAGAAAAATATCCATGCATTTGTTACTTCAAGGCTGATTACTGCAACTCTTTATTATGGTTGCCTATTAATCCATAAAGACGCTCCAATTATCAAAATGCTGCAGCGAGTTATGACAGGAACTAGGAAAGAGATCACATCTCTCCTGTTCTAGCTTCTCTGCATTGGCTTCCCTGTTAAATTTAAATAGATTTAAAATTCCTCCTCACCTAAATTCATGGTCAGGCCCTTCTATCTTAAAGCTTCATAGTACCCTATACCCCTCTAAACACTACGTCTCTAATGCTGGCTACTGTGGTCCTATAGTCTATAAAAGTAACAGGAGCAGAGCATGGATTGCCTTCTCAAGGTCCTGACATGCAGTGTCGTAGTTTGTGGAGAACACTGGCAGGAGAAAGGCCTTCTGAATATGTTTTAAGCATGAAAAATGGCACTCTCAAAGAGCCTTAAGCGGAAAGTTGATGCAGAGAACCACAGCTTTAATGAAAAATTGACTTTTTGCCAACTTTTAGAAATGCTGTACCTGGACTTCCGGTTCGGGGTCACCGAAGGGATGGCAGCGTAGTTGGAGCACTCTCGACTAAAGTGTAAAAAAAA